TAAGTGAATGATAATTGTTTAGTTAATAAATAATTTTAAAAAGGAATTAATTAATTACATGCTATTTTTAATAATATTAAAATTAATTAACTTTTTTGAAGTAAATAAATGATGAAAAGCTTTTACTTTCTTTTTCATAATATTTTTATTAGTTTTTATTAAAAACTTATTTTTTGAATTTACAGTTAGTTTTTTTCTTTTGGCAATTCATCTTTCTTTTCCTATTTTTTAATTTCTTAAAAAATAACATGTTACTAGTCCTTCATTTTCAAGGTTGGTATCATCATAATCTAAGGTTGGTTCATTAACTAATTCTAATATTATTCTAATTTGATTAATAAATCTTTAATGGTTTTTTCTTATTCATTAATTCTTTATTATTGTTAGAGATTTGTTTTCTATAATTCTTCAATTTTTGTCTCCTTTTTAAGTATTATTTTGAATAGATTGATGATATTTTGAATAAAAAAGTTAATTAATTAACATATTATCTTTTTTCATGGTCTTCTTTTAACTCTTAGTTTAAGGTCTGTTCATTTTTACTATTAAAAATTTAACAAAAAATATATTAAAATAAAATAAACAAACAAATAAATAAATAAATATACATGATTGGGTAAAACTTATTTGACAAATCTTAAACAAACTCAATTTCATTTTTAAGTGAACTTGTGAACTGCTGAGTGTTTCCATCTATCGTCTCAATAAGCATTTCATCTAACTAAAATTCAAAAGAAATAATTCCCTTTAAAATAATTAAAGCCTCCTTAATAGGCATTCTATTCTTTGGAACAAAATTAGTTAATCCTTCAATAATATATTTAATCTATTTGTGATAAACAAAATTTTAAAATTCACCATCATAATTTAATGGTTTGTGCTTATTTTATGCTAAACTGAAATCTATTCCCTAGACAAGTGTATATATAAGATACCCTTTTTAATAATTTATTTTTGTTAAATAAAAACAAATAATATATTTTTTATTTCATATAATACCTAAAGAGCATGCTTCACTCTGTTTAAATTAATAAATAAGAATAATATTAATTAGCTTTTAGAGAAATGATTTAAATTAAATATTTACTCTGATGCTTGGCTATTGTCTCACACTGAATCCTAATTTTAAATATTCCTCATGATAAACCTTACCTATGAATGGATCAGCTGGGTCAAAACACTCTGGTGCTTGATACAAGAAGTTTCCCATCTTAATTTTTTGAATTGAATTATTTGAATATCTCATTAATATGATAAAAATATGAGTTCATACATATTGATTGATAGCATAGCCAGATTTATTTATTAGGTTATCTGCTAAACCAAAATCAGCTATTTTATATATTTTATATAAAATCAATCAAGCAGGTTTAAGTTTGTTAAAAACTTACAAACAACTGCATTTCCATGATAGTCAATTAAGATATTATCCATTTTCAGATCATTAACAAGGCAGCTCTTAGAGTGAATGTAGTAGAGACCTTGAGCAATGTCGTTAGCGTATTTGATTGCTGATATTTCATTCAGTCTTTTGCTTTAGTTTCTTTCTAAAATCTAGGTGAGAGTTCCTTTTTATTTATAGCATTTAATTTTTCATTAAAAACTTTCAATAAAGCAGTTTGATTAATTAATTTAAAAAATAAATGAGTATTATTTGTACCTTAACACTCAGTTAGAACTAAGTAACTAAATTATTATCCCTCAAATTAATCTATAAGACTGACTACATAAGGAGAGTCTCTACATTTTTTGAGAATTTCTACTTCTTGTTTCACTCGATTGTTAAGATCTTCGTCAAGATTACCTTGAGGATCTCTAACTTAAACACCTTTGATGGCATACCTCATGTTAGTTTTCGAATCTTTTGCTAACAAAACTAATCCCTATACTCCCTGTCCTAAAAATCTAAAATCAGAGTAGCCTTTTTTACTTAATTCGCTTTTCATAGTCTAATAAATTGAAGCTTATTAAGGCTTTAACTTAGGTTCTTAGATATCAGAAACTTTTGTTAAAATTCAGATAAAATTTGATTAGAACCAAGACATGCAGGCAAAAGGTAAATTATTAAATGGATGTTTTGGTTTTATTTTTACAGATTAAAAATTTAAGTTTTAATTATATCTTTATGCAATTTTTTATTTAATATATGAATATTTATAATAATAAATAAACCTATTCATAAAAAATGTATTATAATTTAAATGTTTTTTACTGATTAACTCAGGCTTATCGAGCATTTAGACACCTTAAATTCTGTACATCTCTTTGATTTTTTTCCTTTTTTGAAGATGCAAAGCAAGGTTATATTTAGCTTCTTAGTATCCTACAAGATTTTATCTGATTATATCCATTTTTTTAATATCTCAATATTTTTTTTTTCTAACAAATTAATTGAATTAATTAATTATATGCTAATAAGCAAAATTCATTAAGTTTTTAAATGTTTATTTTTTGTTAAAATCTGATTTAAATTAATTAAATTATCTGTATAAATAATATTTGACAAATCAAAATTTTCTTTCATAAAAATTGTAATAATACGCATTAACTATTAGATTATTTATAAATATGATTTAAATATCCCAACTTGTCATCATCTCAATCACGAAATTACACAAAATGACTTAATGAATAAAAGTAGCAGAATGATGCGCATAAAATAAAACAAGAAAGAAAACAAAATAATAATTAATTCATAGCTTTAGTAATACATATAAGTAAAAAAGCTTAGAACTTAAATTTTAAGTCATCATTAAAGTAATTGACTATAAAATCAGTTTTATATTTTAAACTAAATAATATTTATCATTCATTAAAATTTATTAATGCCTTCTTAATAGTAAAAATATGAATAAATGGCACAATAATTTTAAAGTAGTAAAACTAACATATAACTTATAACATAGATAACTAAGTAAATGAAGCTTAGATGTAAAACTTTTAGCAAATTTTGTTGTAAAAAACAATAAATTGTAAGACTATAAACAGATATTAACATTTTCTCACCTAATTTCTAGACCAGAGCTTATTAAAAGATCCTATTCTTTAATAAATAAAATTTAAAAATATTCAAGCATTATATTATTTTCAAATATTTCTAATCCAGGTATTAAAATATGATGAACTGGATAGCATTATATTTTAATACCTGGATTATGCTTAATTTAAAATAAAAATAAATAAATAAAAGTATTTATGAAAAAGTTTGTAAAGGCAAGATTCAATAAAACTCATAAATTGTATTTAATATATAAATATATAGTATAAAAAGCGTTCAAATACAATATTCAATATTTTTTCAAATTTTTGGTGGTTTTCAATAAAAAATTTATTTTTTTAGGATTAATTTTCACCTAGTTTTTTATTATTTTTATAGAATTGCAGGTAGATATTTTTATTATTTTAATTTTTAAAGAGATAAAATAAAAATTATTTTTATTATTTACTCATTTATTTGATTAAATATATAATTGTATTGTTTTAAATTTTATTTTTCTCTATTAAAAATAATTTATAAAAATATATTTATTTTTCTTAAATAACAAGCAAAAGATATTTTGAAACTAATTTATTTTTTAAAATGTAAAAACTATTTGGAAACACCATTTATATGATATATTTTATTTATAGTTATAATTTTTAAGTTTAATTAAAAAATATTTTTCAAATAAAGCGATTTTTTAAATTTACAACTTAACTCAAAGAAAATTTTATTTGAATAACTTCATTTTATTGAAAGAAACATGCCAAAGTAACTTAAGATATTTCAATTATGTTTTTTATTAAATTTAAAAAGTAATTTAGAAGGTACCCTTTTATAACTTCACTTTTTTTTAAACATTTTCAAAAAAATGTATTTCATTTACCTAATAACTATAACAAAATCTAAGTTCTATTAGAAAATTTTATTTATTAATTTTAATACTTGCTTATCCTTCTCAGTTTTAATTTAAAAAATAATATTGATTAAAAATTAGGAATAGACCTAATAATATTCGGTATTCAGTAAATATTAAAATATTCTGTATTCTATATAAAAATTTATAAAAATTCTAGGTTTTCAGTTATTTAACAGAATAATTACCTAATAAATTTATTTGAGTTTTTAAAAATTTAAATGTAAGTTAACTAATAAATAATCTTAATAATTTTAAATATTTTATATTTTTGATTAAATTTTCAAAAAAGCAGAGATTTAAAATACATGTAAAATAAAAATTGGCTAATTCATTTGATTTAATTAATATACCATAATTAAATAAATAAATAAAATATAGCTTTTGTTATTTAAAAAACTATTATTTTTTTATATTCTTTGTCAAGCACAAAACCTATTCCGATACCTTTTTTTATTTGCTTTAAATTATTCTAAATATATATTTACAATCACTAATTTTTATTGAATAAGAAGAAGAAGATAATCAAAGATCAAAATTTTTATTTTTTTATAAACTTTATTTATTAATGAGTTTTATTAGCTGAGACTAAAAAAATAAAAAAATAAATAATAAATCACTTAATTGCTTAAGAATATTATTAAAAGTTAAATTATCCAACCATTTAACTTGTATCTTGAAATTGGATCACAAATACACTTTGAATCGAAATTTTTAATTTCAAAAACTAGGAATATCTGGATTTTTAAGCCTTTAATTCTATACTTCTTTACATATTACAATATTAAATTTTTTTCTTACTTCAAAAAAAAAAGGAGTTTTTTTTTATTCTAAAATTTATATTATTAGCCAGATAGATAACTTAAATTAAAAAACAATTATATTTAAATTGTTTTTAATTTTATTTTTGATTTGAATAATTTATTTATTTTTTTCATGTTAAAAAAAAAGAAATTAAAAGTTGAAGCTACAATCAATATAGAAAACATAAAAACATATTTCACAAATTCATATTATTTTTAATATTTGTTCATAGTAATTCAAGTTATTATTTTACTTATGATAAACAAGCAAACAAACAAAAAAAAGAGTGCATTTCTGATTTCATAAACTGTGCTGTCTGAATCTAACAAATATAATGTGGCTCATCACTTTATTTTTGATTTTTTAAATTAAATGAAAATTATAAATCAATTTATTTATCTGCAAAAAGATTAATTACCTCCTAATATTATTATAAACGTTTATTAAATCTTTCTTTTTATAAAAACTTCTAAAATATTATATTACCTTATTTATTTTATTCTAAGGTTAGTAAAAAAGCTTAATTTGCTTATAAATAATTTTACTTTCTTTATAATAAGTTAATAGTAGATATTCATATATATGTTGGTTTCTTAATAGGATTAATTATTACCAACTGTTTTAATTAAAACATTTCTTGATTGTATGATTCATCCAAAGTTATTTAAAATATTACAATCTATTATTATTTTTAATTTTTTTTTTTCTTTTTCAATCACTCAAATATTTTACATTCTAGTTTAGAATTAACATAGTTAGTTAGTTATATTTTTTGATTACTATCATAACTCTTACTCACTATTTTCAAATTAAAAGTAACACTTACTCTACATTAGTAACTTTCAAAAATATTACTATCTATTTCATACATTTTAATAAGATTCTCTATAAAAATTATTCTTCTAAAATAAATATTACTCGCTGTAAATTCAAAATTAAACTTATTTTCCATCTTTCTTATTTATCTC